TATAATATATATGAAATACAATGTGGAATAAATCAGCTTAATTATATGAATTTTTGCTATAAATTTATCTAAATATGTATATGATTAGAGATTATATTAACCATACAAAATTTTAATTTTAATTTTGTATGTTATGAAAATAGATACTTGACCAAATATATAAAAATCCAACTATATTATTATATTGTACATTTTAACATCTTTTTATTTTTTCTATTTAATTTTAAATTCATAATAATAAAAAAATTTAATGTGTAAAACACTATATTTTTAAAAAAATACAATTGGATAAATGTCATAAATTGGTACAAAATCATTTATGTTTATAATAATTAAAGAAAAAAAATAATTCAAATATGCGAACCAATGATTTCAAAATGAAATTAATATACAATTACAAATAAATATAGCATGATTAGATTTACTTTAATTAGTTTTAATTTTTTTTAATGAAATGACTTTTATTTATCAGTTTTTGATGGGAGACTAAGGGAGTGTTTGTGTTGCCGGAAAATATTTTAAAAATAGAAATACTTACTAATAATAAATAATTTTAAAATATTTTTTAACCCCTAATAACATGTGTAAATCTTATATTTTTTTTTAAAAAATACAAATTGATAAATATCATAAATTAATTAGTACAATATCATTTCTGTTTATAATAATTAAAGAAAAAATAAATAATTCAAATATGTGAAGCAATGATTTCAAAATGAAATTAATCCATCTATACTATTAATTTAATAATAGTAAATAATAATTTACACCAATCTATATCTATACTATTAATAAAAGTAAAATCTTCCATTAAAATATCTCTTACCCCTTTTGATACGAGATTGTCCTTCAAGTTCTAGCATAAACAATTCCTATTGATGCTCGCATATACCATGACTGTCAACAAAAGTCAGGGCCAAACACTAACTCACATTGGGTTATTACATAAAAAACCAGTCTTCAATCACGATCAATTGTACGTGACTTTTTCCCGAGTCACTCATCCTGGTGGCCTGAAGGTTTTAACTCTACACGGGGATGGATAAAATTCTGTTACTACTACCAATGTCGTCTACAAAGATATTTTCAATAATGTGTAATTCAAGCCAATGATATTATAAGGAAATAATAATTTACATCAATCTATATCTATACTATAATTTTGGTGTAATTTTATAAGTAAATAATAATTTATTAATTATTATTTACACCACTCTATATCTATACTATTAATAAAAGTAAAATCTTCCACAAATAATGTTTAATAATTGACAAATTCTATTAGGCAATAAAAATTACTATTATAAAATCTTTTGTACTATGGACACATATTTTTAATTATTTCGGTTTAATAATATTATATCTTATTTATAAAAATTCAAATTAATACTTTTAGTACTATTGAATATTGATTGACTAAAAATTATCTTAATTATTATTAAGGTAATTAATAGGTATTTAGCTTTAACAAGTCTTCAAATATATGAATTATACATAGTAGCATTGAATCAATTAGTAGGACAATTATATTAGGTAATCTAATTAATAATTTACTTTTTAAATTATATCTCATTTTCAATCATGAATATTTTCTTAAAGCATATACACAGACTATGCTTATCAATATAGAATTAAAAATGTGTATGTGTGTGTGTGTGTGTGTATATATATGTATGTATATTTAATGTATAATATGTATTCAAAATAATTTTAAAATATTATTTAACCCCTAAACATGAGAAAATTTTTTATTTTAAAAAAATATACAATTTGATAAATATCATAAATTAATTATTGCAATAGCATTTATGTTTACAATGAGAATAATTAAAAAATAATAATTTAAATATGTGAATCAATGATTTCAAAATAAAATTAATATACATTACAAATAAATATAGCATGATTAGATTTAATTTAATTAGTTTTAATTTATTTAATAAAATGATTTTTCTTTATCAGTTTTTGATGGGAGATTAATGGAGTGTTTGAGTTGCTGAAAAATATTTTTAAAATAAAAATAATTTAAAAATTTTTCAACCCATAAACATGTGAAAATTTTATATTTAAAAAAAGATACAATTTGATAAATATCATAAATTAATTATTGCAATATCATTTATGTTTACCATGCGAATAATTAATGAAAAATAAAAAATTCAAATATACTATTAATAAAAGTAAAATGCTCATTTTCAACATTCTCGCCCAAATTAATATGAATATTAATTAAATAGTAAAAAATTAATAAAGCTTATTTGGTAACAATAATATTTCTAATTGAGTAATTGACTAATTAACTACAATGAAAAAAGAAATTGTCATGATCATTGCATTTTAAATAAAAAAAAAAGAACAAAAATTAAAAATTAGACGGAAATGTTTCAATAATATTCTACATCATCAATAGGAAATGCATATTTTAAAGTTTAAATAATATAAAGGTAAATTAAAAATATAACGAAAATATTTCAATAAAAATATTATACATCATTTAAAAATGGAACGGAAATTATTTAAAAATATCACTGCATCTGATAGTCTAATTGACTGAAAATAAAAAAGAATAATTGGCTGAAAATGAATCTGATATTACTAATTGGCTGAAAATATAAAAGGATCACTAATTGACTGATATTCTACCATTATATATTTTCACCTGAGTCACTCATCTTGATGGACTGAAGGTGTTAGCTCTAGACGAAGATGGATAAGATTGTGTTGCTATTATCAATATTGTCTATAAAGATGTTTCAATAATGTGTAAATACAATCTGTGATATTCTGTTTTTTTTTTTAATGGCAAAATTGCTATATATCTAGACAAACAATATATTTTTCATACAAATGAATTAGGATATCAATTCATTCTTATAACTGAGTTGCTAAAGAACGAGCATATTTGCCTACTTTATAAAAATACTGAACAATGATAAATAAAACCTCCAAAGCTACAACACCGCATGCGTACGTCTACACATTAGTTATTAATTTGAGCACTTATTTGCTCAAATTCAAGCAATGATAACATAAAAACACAAAGGATCCAAACCATACCTTCAATTGCACTATATAATATTTGATGTTATAATTTAAATAATTATATATCAATCGAAATATTCTTAATATATTACAACAAATTCATTCCCTGCATTGCATGGGTGAAAATACTAATAATAATAATAATCCAAACAAAACTAAATACAAAATAAAATTAAAATTAAACAAAAAAAAAAAAAAAGAAGAAGAAGACAAAGGGGAGCCACGAGCTCCCTTTGTAAATGATGTGAGATCATTTTGATCCCACATTGAAAATGTTTGAAAAGAGGAGCTCTTGAGCTCTTCTATATAAGAGGTACAAACATAATTGTTTGTCCATCAATGTGGCAAGTATTGAGAAGTCAAAATGTTCTTATTTAAGAAACCTTAGCTTTGTTTTTTTTTTTTTTTTAGTTGTTCATTATTTATTTATTTATTATTTATTTATTATTAGTGGGGTTTGGGAAAGATTAACCCAAAATGTATGTGTTGTTTTAGTTTTTAGCAGTTTGGAGCGAGCAAATTACTGAGTTATTAAATAATATTTTGGTGTTTTGATTAAAGATAAATTGTTAAAATTTTGACGAAATTATTAATAATCAAATAATAATAATAATAATAATAATAATAATAATAATCCAAACAAAAACGATATATAGAATGAAATTAAAAAAAAAAAAAAAAAAAGAAGACAAAAGGGAGCCCGTGGCTCCCTTTGTAAATGATGTGCGGTCATTTTGATCTCCAGCTCCTCTTACAAACATAATTGCTTGCCCATCAATGTCGACAAGTATTGAGAAGTCCAAAGTCTTTTTTTTTTTGTTTTTTTTTATGAAAATACTAAACAATGATAAATAAAATCTTCAAAATATAGCACCGCATGCGTACATCTAAATATAGCTATTAATTTGAGCAATTATTTACACAAATTCAAGCAATGATAACATCAAAATATATAAACGATCCAAATCATATTTTTATTTAGATGTACTATATTATATTTGATATTCTAATTTAAATAATTATATATTGATTCATATATTATTAATATATTACAACAAATTCATTCCGTGCATCGCACGGGTGCAAATACTAGTAGATAGCAAAAAGATGATGCCAAAGAAAAGTTGTTAGATGCTAATCTTCATTTAGAAGATCAAGATGATTGTGAGATTGGAAAGAATTTAAATGATATTGTGATGATTGTGAGATTGGAAAGAATTTAAATGATATTGTGCACAACGATGATATGTATCACTATGACAATGAAAATAATAAGAATGTTGATAGTTGTTTATATGATGTTAGTCATAGTGATAAACCAAATGATTCGCTTTTATTTGACATATATGATCCAAGAAATTGGGATGTCTTGATTCTAAATTAATAGATATTTTTGTGAAAGATTGTCCTAAAAGAGATTTATCATCAATAAATAAAAATCCTAAAGATAAATTCTTTAGAAGATTTTCATATGCATTTTACACAAGATATTTGTCACATTTTGAATGAAATTTTAGATGTATTTTTTTATACAATATTTATATTTTGAAATTTTGACACAACTTTTTAAACAACTATTATTTATATATAGAAATTACTTGATAAAAGGGGCTCAAATTAAGATATTGCAAAGGATCCTAATTTTTAGTGGAACGGCCCTGATCTCGTAATGTAAATGTTGCCGGTGAATTTTCTCTCGCACAGTACAAGGAAACTAGATTAAATCAATAATTTATTTATAACGGAAATCGCACCAAGAGAAAGTATGAATCAAACCAATTAATATAATTTTGTGTTGCAAAATTATGTTTGGGTATTATTTAGTGAGGGCCGCTCCACCTCGCTGGCCCGTTTTAACCTATAGTCCTAACTCCTAAGTGCACATGCGCGTGGATCACCCGCCATAGTAGACGGATTGAACCGTGCACAACGGCACAATATGCGCCATTATAGAGGTGCTTCTCTTCTCGCTTCTTTCTATTCTTCTTCCATTCTCGCTTCTTTCTACAATCATCATCTCCAAGCTTCTCATCACTCCATTGGCTGGTAAATTTCATTAATCTCTCCCTTTTTAATATATATTTTTTGCGATAATTATTCGATTACCCATTGTTTATCTGCACTTTTGTTCTAAATCCAGAAAGAAGGAAACGATGTTTTACACCACACATGAGAGACACAAATTCAATTGTTTGGTACTTAGGAATCACGTTGGAACAGAATGAAATTCAAATATCTAATTCCTTTTCAACATTTTGGTATGTTCCTTCCATCAAATAGTGATTTTTAGGAAATGTTGTTCCATCTGCTTGCAACAGTATGTTCCTTAATTTGTAATATGTAGAAACCAGCCACTGTCTTTTTAGGGGATATTTCGGGTGTGTTTGGTTCAAACATTAGAATCGGAATAGTAATAAAAATCAAATACTTATAAGGAATAAGGTTCAAATTGGCCACTGAACGTAACATGAAAATGCAATTAGGCCACTGAACGAAAAAAAAGTGCAATTAGGCCACTGAACACTTAAAAACGTGCAATTAGGCCACTGAACAATTCAAATGTATGCAATTTTACCGGATAGCAGGTTACCATCAATTTTAGAAGGTTACCTGCTTACGTGGCAGCTGAGTTGGCATTTTTAATAATTTTTAAATAATTTTAAATAAATTTTATAATAAATTTAATAATAAATTTTAATTTTTTTAATAAATTTAAAAAATAAATTTTAAATTTTACCTGCTTACCATCGTTTTTTTTAATTTTTTTTTAAAAATTATTTTTAACATTTATTAAAAATTATTTAAAAATTATTAAAAATGCCAACTCAGCTGCCACGTAAGCAGGTAACCTGCTAAAATTGATGATAACCTGCTATCAGGTGAAATTGCATACATTTGGAGTGTTCAGTGGCCTAATTGCACTTTTTTTTCGTTCAGTGGCCTAATTGCATTTTCAGGTTACGTTCAATGGCCAATTTGAACCTTATTCCTACTTATAATTGTAATGTGATTAAGTAGAAGGAGCCACTTTGTTTGTTTGGTAGTAAATAGGAATTAGAATCAAAATAAATAAATAATTAATAAAAATAAATAGATATATAAAATATATAATACATATATATACACATACATATCTAAATCTAAAAACATAATAAGTCTCAATCAAAGTTATATCCCTAATTTATGTCCATGTTTTTAGTGTTAACCATTTTGTATATTGTGCTTTTAGAGTTGTATTATACAATTTTTTGGACAAAAATACACTTACCGTTATAACTTTCGTTATCTTTTCCAGTACTTTTACCATGCACATCATGCATCCATCATATTTTTTATTATATTCTTTAATGATAATAATATTTGTAGACATTATATATTGGATTAATATAATAAATAAATTTTATTTCATTTAGATTTTAATTAGTAAAATTTGTTAGTTATTTTTTAAAATATAAATGTCGGGCATATGTTTTGCGCATCGCGCATAGAAAAGACTAGTATGTGTATATATATTAAGGGTGTGTTTGGTTGGTGGGGTTTGCCCATAGGAATGGGTATGAAAGTGATTGTTGTTATTTGGTTGATAGGTTTTTAGAACACTACTATGGATTTCGAATACCCCATCAATTGAAAAACACATACCCAACTAAAATAAGAGTTTCATTCCCTTATTCATTCTCAAACAGTACTATTAGTAACCATTCTCATTCCACCCTACTACCAAACATGTTAAATACTTTTACCAAAACCCATTACCATTACCAAGTATTTGATACCCATTCCGATTCCAATTCCTATGTGTGAACCAAACACACCCTAAAATTCCATATTTAATGCATAGACAATGACATTTTTAATTTTGTTTTTCATTTTTTCTCCCTTATTTTTTATTCCATTGTTTAAAAGTAGAGGACTAAAAGGATAATGAGTTTTGTAATTACTAAAGAATTTGATTTCCAATAGTAGGATAATAAAAATAGGCAAACAAACATGGTAATGGATATCAAAATCCATAGTAAGGTGCAAAAGTCTCCAACCAAACACCACCTTTGTTACATTATATATGCTCACTAAATTCAGTTAATAGTAATATGCATTTGTTCTGTAGTTGCATTTCTGCATGAGCTGCGATGTCTAATACTGATGTTAAAGATCCATTGCTACCGGGAACCGTTGATGTTTCACTTCAGTCTCGTTTGAAGAAGGTGTTGGAGAGAAGAAAGAATCATGGTTGTGGTAGTGCTCCCGGTGATGAGGTCCTTCATCCAGAACATAACGATGTGAAAACATCTCATCCTCCTGATTCTTTTGCACCAAACAGCCTTAAATTCAGGCATGTTTTCTTGTTCTTGGCTGTGTATTTAGGTATAGGGGCTGTCTGTTTTTTCCTCGTAAGAGATCAGATTGACGGCAAGAAGACGAATGAGGTTCTAGACGCCATATACTTTTGTGTTGTCACAATGACCACAGTTGGGTATGGGGACCTTGTGCCTAGTACCACTTTAGCGAAATTCCTTGCTTGTGTTTTTGTGTTTGCTGGAATGGCCCTTGTTGGATTTGTTCTGAGTAAAGCGGCTGACAGGTTTCTAGAGAAGCAGGAAATCCTTTTTTCCAAAGCTATACATCTAGGCAAAGATTACAATTCAACAGAATTAGCCGATGTAGTTGGACCGAATAAAGTGAAATACAAATTCCTAACTACCTTAGTGCTCCTTGTTGGGTTAATGATAGCCGGAACTCTCTTCGTGGTTTTTGTCGAGGGGCTGGCAGTTTTTGATGCATTTTATTGCGTTTGTGCCACTATCACCACACTTGGTTATGGAGACAAGAGCTTCTCAACAAAGTCGGGTCGTATTTTTGCTTCGTTTTGGATAGTTATCAGCACCATTTGCTTGGCACGGTTATTTTACTACTTCGCTGAAGTTTGTACAGAACAAAGGCAAAGATCAATGATCGAGTGCGCTCTTACAAGGAAATTGACGGTGTCAGATCTCAGGGCAGCAGACCTCGACAACAATGATGAAGTGAGGTAACTTTTTCTCCACTATTTCACTTTGAAAACAATAACGTAGTAAGATCTCGTATAATGATGCTCATTTAAACTGTCGATATTTCTTTCTATCCAGTCCTGCAGAATTTATCGTTTACAAACTGAAAGAGATGGGCAAGATTACTGATGAAGATGTGACTACCGTGATGAAAGGGTTCAAAATGCTCGATGTTGATCTGTCTGGAACATTGACCGAATCTGATATAGTTTGAATTTTGAAACTCTTTCTAGTTTTGAATTATCTGGTAATTGTACATATTAATACAAGCACCTTGTAAATGAATTATATTTTTATAAACGGAATCAAATGTTGAGCACATCCTTCCAATATATGATTCACTATTCAGAGCAGCTTAAAAGTTTCAACATTGATATACAGTAGGAGTGTTGGGTTTAAGGTGACTTGCCTACTGAAACCTATAGTTACATTTGCCGGTGTTGATATATAGCAGGTTCTTCAGGTACAAATTAAAGCATTATTAATAAGTGGCATTCACAGCATTCAAACTTCAGAAGTCTTCGAGTTGTTGTTCTTGTTGGAATACAAGGTAACCTAGCAGGCCCTCGCCGTCCTTTTCACCTCTGAAGTCGACTGCAAATGGTGGTACCTGGGTGAAGGCGATTATTGCCCCCATGAACAGAGTTGTGGAGAGGAAAAGAGGCCAGAAATAAGCGAGCATGGTAATAAGTCGGGGGGCCGTGTTAATGACAAAACCAAGGAACAGTGATGCTACAATTAGTACAGCAATGGAGTTCTTGTGCTCTAGAAGCTTGGTAGAGATATCCATAGCCTTCTGAGTTTCAATCTTCTAGTTGGAAACTGCAGATATTTCAGGTATGTTTCTCTTTTCGTGCCTTTTTTGCAATCAAGAGCCGGTTGAGGAGTGCTTTTGTTGTGTTCTCGAAGATTCTTTCTTCAAATGTTTAGCTTCTTTTACTCTGCTTTTCTTCCAAATTAAACCAACTCCCTGTTCAGTTTCTTGTTCGATAACTCGAATTCCCTCCCATTCTGTTCCAAATTATATAGAGGCAGCGGTGCGGTTTAAGTGCAACAGAAAGGGAAAAATTGTATACATTCCTCAGAAGAGAGGAAAGCAAAAGTATGCTTGCAATTTTGGTTTATCCCCATTGCAAGTAGGTTGCTTTATCCCAACTCCAAGGGTTTCCTTAATATAGAAGTTACAAATTTTGGGTTAAGGGAAAGAATTCTTGCAATTGTGGTTTACCCCTTTAGTTGGCTAGTAGGTTACCTTATCCCAACTCCAAGGATTTCCTCCTCATTGTAGGAAGTTAGAAATTTTAGGTCAAGGGTGGTTACTAGCAGTAAAGCAAGAAAGAGCCCGCATGGACAGCTCAACTGGTCACAGAGGTGAAATTTGTCATAAAAGACTAAGGATCAAGTTTTACCAATGACAGTGTAGGAACAACCTCTCAAAAGTCTAGTCTCGGTTGGTCAGTTGAGTCATCATAATTTACCTCTCCGGCCTCCACAAACTGTCTGGCCGAGGTATGTGGGTGATTCCACCTTTTGTCACAAGTAAAGCAAGAAAGAGAATAATCATGGAAACTTAAAGAGGAAAGAGTGAGCTAACAGGTTTTAATTTCCGCAAATTACTATACCTTTTATGTTATTAGTCCAACAGAAATCATATTACATAGGGACTAGGGATTTTGTCGAAAAATATTGGACCCCTATTTGTTCATACTGAATACATACTATAAGGTGGTATAGGATCAACTGAAAAACTTGATCCAATCCCCTTTTAACCTGGAAATGAAAAATTACAGACCCTCATTTGCCTGCTGAAAGAATTCTACAGCTCTGGGATGGTAGCCAGTGATGGCCTCCATTTCAGGCAGCCATCTCTAATAGAGTGAACTCGAACCATTCTGTAATTAAGCTTATTTGCACCATTAATCAGCATCTGTAGTTGCTTCCTAGTCAACACAACCTTCACTCTTTGCCCATTTTGAGTTCTACTGTCATATTTGGACACTTTTTGACATGTTGGCATCCATGGCAGGTTACACTTCTTAGCAAGGAGTCGTCTACCACATCTACCAGGCTTCTGGTGTTCCAAAAGATCTTCACCATCATCAACATTTAGAGGTCTTCTTTCGTTGTGGCACAGATGAGAGTATGCAATGCAATTGCCCATGATTGTGGTGAGGATATGCATGGTTAGAGAGATGGTCAACATCATATATAGAGCTGCAGGTACTAAAACGTGCAGGCCATCTTAAAGGAATGCTGAATTGTTTAAAGTTTTGGACTCTGTTAGGTCAAGCAGTTGAAGAATGTTAAGTTGTATAATATTTGAATGATTTGTAGTCAAAAGGTTATAATAATCATTAATCAAGAAGTTGCCTATGCACTCGGCACCCTCTGTGGTTGACTTTTGGTTTATAACATTATATTAGTCATCTCCAATGTCTTCAAATTATGGTTTCATTTTTGTTTTTTTCTAAGGAATCAATTTGATGAGTACTGCATTATAATTAAAATCTTTTCGGATTGACCCAAGAGGGTAGTTCAAGTGACAAATGAGCTCTCTTTGTGGATGAGAATTTCAGGATAATCTGGATTCGATTTCCACAAGTGACGACCTGAACCGTTAAATGAACATAGAAAGACTCGGACCACATTGTGGTTTACACAAACAAACAAAAAAATGACAAATTTTTATGTGTATCATAAAAAAGTACATTTTTAATATTATACTAAAAGAGTAAAAGTATATTATTTGTGTACTGAATGTATATTATATAAAATAATATTTTTTTTTTTTTGAAAAGATAAAATAATATAATTTTAGTATTCAAATAATGTATTTTCTATGAATACAAGGTATATTTTTAATATACCAAAAGTACATTATTTTTATTTTAAATGTATATTATTTAATAGTACACCAAATAATGTAATTTTAGTACTAAAAAATATACTTTATGTACACAATGTATTTTTTAACTGTGTGGACCGAAGTCCTAGAATAATGATTGCAACTATTCTAACTAGTCTCAAATATTCTAAATTTCAAAGGTGGAGTGTCTCCCACCGTTAGGTCAAAATTTTAAATGATAATATGTAAATTGATGTCATTTTAATGAACTTACAGTATATTATAATGAACTTATCATATTATAATAATGAAACATGACCAATGATAATTTTAATGAGCTTATAGTATTATAATAATGAACAATGGTCCATGGCGCAAGGTGGACTATGATTCATGATATAATTTGTTTGTTGAGGAACGGTGGAGGTACAGCTGTCGAAACAAACTTGCAGGGCGGACCTGCCAAAGACTGCCATATGGCAGGGGCTGACTAAAAAACCCACTAAAATAAGTGTATATTAAAATAAATTGAATAGTTTAAACACATAGTTTTTTTTTTAGATATACTAACTCTTTTTACATTGTAATATCTATTCATTTATACTCTCTCAACCTATTGTTGAATCACAAAGAGTCAACACTGTCTCCACTAAGGCTCAATCTCATGACCTCCTATATGGGAGAGTCGTTACATGTCATCTGAGCACAAGGTGTTTGGCAGTTTAAACACATATTAATGCATTTGTAATTTGTTAAATACAATAATAACTAATAAGGTAATAAGTCCTAATAAATAATTAAATACATAATGTGTTAATCTATAAGGTAATAACAAATAATTTATACAATGTCCTACTTACTAATACATTTCTTCAATATAAATAAATAAACATATATATATATATATATATATATATATATATATATATATATATATATATATATATATATATATATATATATATATATATAATCATATAAAATGATGTGTCTTTGTGTGCCGCTGGCCTGCCGAAGCACGCCACTTTGGCGGGGCAGTCTAAAAGGCCCAAAAATACGGGCCGTACAATCAAAGCCTGCCCCGCCTACGGGCTAACCCGACGGATTAAGTCCGTTTTGACGGCTCTAGGTTGGGGCAACAGGGCAGTGACCCAAGTCCAACTACCATTTTTTATTTTGTTTAATATTTAGGTGATCTCAATTTTGTTGGACTAATCTTAAACTTACAAGATCTCACCTCTAGAGTCACTATAAAGATAAATTGTGAATCGCGCAATTCATTCCATACCTTTTACAATCTTGGACCTTTTTACGACTTTTTTTTTTTTTTACTAATATATATTATCAGGGTGTGTATATACATATTTTTTTATTATTTATATATTTAAATACAACTTAATTCTAATTTTTTATTAGTATTAAAATTGAGATTTGTAAAATACATTCATCATTCTAAATTTTTTTTCAGTGATGATGAAAACTGCAGCCACTACTTGAGAGTGTTACTAAGTAAATTTCACATTATGACCCTAGCCGGTAAAAAATCACAATGAGGTAAATCAATATAGGCTACCTATAGTTGATCTACTCAAACCAAGAAGTTAAGGCCAATAGGCCGGTCTACTAGGAGTTATAAACTTGTAAGATTGCAGTTACTAAGTCAACAAATTGACCAATTTTGTTGGGGTTGCCCCAATTCCTAATTCTAGTTGTATTTATGATTTGTGGCTTTGCAAATTTTCTTTCTAATTTCTTTGATATCAATTGTAAAATTTATAATATAGACAATTTTGTGATTCATATTTGATAAGGATTATTCTTCGGGTATACTTCCCTATATGTTCAAGCATCTGTTCGGTATTCGGGTATAAGAACACCTAACACTTTAGTGGAGGGGGATCCCTTTCTCTTCTCTGAAGATTACTCTCTCTGAACATTGAATAAGAAAGGCCTTTAGGCCAATTTCTCTACATCTTCTCTCTACGATTTATGAATTGCTATTTCATTCATTAATGGAGGATCTTCCCCTTCTCATATACTTTTCATACAATTCTATACGCACAAGATACATCAAACTAATTTACACTATCAGTATTAAAATTTAAAATTTATTCATAGTTGAGCAATTTAGCACTTATATTTATAACTAGTTTTTTACGCGACATTGAGCGATTGGGATAATGCCCAATGCTTTTTTTTTTTTTTTAAAGTACTTTAAAGTATATTAAGGCAGGATTATATTGAAATTGTTCATGCATAGATAATTGAAGGTTGAATTTGCGTATTTAAATATGTAATTCTTCTCCCAAAGGTTGAGTCCTCAACCCCAAGGGCCCCCCCACACTCCGGCCCGACATAATCACGGTGACTCAATGGTTCAGTAGACAGGGCCAAATGCTGATACGCACAAGGAATCCGCCCACTTTGGACATATTAATTCTCGCACTGTCGCCGCCGAGGTTCAGACGTTGGTCTCTTCTCCCAAATACTACCCACTAAACCATTGAGCTAAGCCCGTGCGGGTTAAATAGGTAATTCTCAGTTTACAAATGCAAGATAATATAATCAAGATTGATTATAATTGTCAATAAAATAATTGTATAGGTATAGTTGAAACCAAATACGGGACATAAGGGAGAACACATAAAAATTAGGGCATAAAATATTAAATATATACTAATATTGTTTGAGGAGATTCCGACATTAGGATTTGTGGTTAAGTTCTATTAATACTTTAATATTAGAATTAGATTAATGGTGTAGTTATAATTCTATATTAGACTTTAATATTAGAATTAGACTAATGGTGAATTAACGAAAAAGTTAAATGGATAATCATATAATTAAGGATAAGTTAAAAGCGGTTACAGGCAAATAGTGGGAAATTATGTACAGACGACAGGGATGTTTGATAAATGGCCCAAATTATGGAAGCTCAGAGTACCCCCGAGATGGAAAACATTTTTATGCAGAGCCTTGAATAATATATTGCCCACAACAACGAACCTCATTATAAAGAGAGTGGAGATTAGCCCAGCATGTGCTATGTGTGGGATTATGCATGAGAATGTTATGCACTCTTTGGTTGAATGTGATTATACAAGGAACATTTGGGCACAATCTCGCCTTCCAATCCCCAGTACTATCACAGATATTTTCCATGTTTGGTTTAATGACATATTAAATATTCTAGATGATGATGGAATTATTTATGCAGTAGGCCTACTATACTATATATGGCGAGCGAGGAATGGAGCTGTGTGGGATGCATACTTGCCCAGACCACAAAAGATAATTGCAACTGTAACCGCAGCGATCCGGGCATGGCAAATAGCACACCCGGACCGCCCGATGCAGCAACGTGCTCCGCATGGACTGGCCACGGCAATCCCCGAGCAGCACCAAAGTGCGGCATTGCAGCCTGCTACCGTTCTGCCCACACTCCTTGCGGCTGCCTCCGTACGGAAGAGATGTTACTTTGACGTGGCCTTTTTCCAGGCCACAAGTAAGGCCGCTGTTGGGGCAATTTTCCTAGACGAACAGGGATCGTATATCACAGCTCTACAGGCGCCATTGATAGACTGTTTTTCCCCGCTTATGGCAGAAGCAATTGCATGTAAAGAAGTATTATCCTGGCTATGGGATCGTGGAGAGAGATCGATAGACATACTAACGGACTGTTTGTCACTACAACAGTATTTATCGCAACCGAAGGAAACACCACGTTCGTACCTCGGCTATGCCATTGACACCTGCAGAAACCGGATGGTTTCCTTTGATTATGTTTCAGTTAATTATGTTCCTAGATCAGATAATTGTTTAGCACATATTTTAGCCACTTCGGCCTTTAATTATTCAGCACCTATGTACTCGGACAGTGGTCCGCCACACTCTATTTCAGCATATTTCCAATGAATGCCGCCCAGGCTCTTTTCAAAAAAAAAAAAGAATAAATTAGAAAATCTTAAAAGAAAAAAATTATAACCTGAACAATATGAACCATTCATTTGATTTAATAATTTGGCGGTCATTTTTTTCTACCCAATGTTAATAATTAAATAAATTCGCTGGTCAAATCCGCTAGTATAATCCGCTAACTGCTGATTGTCAAACAAGGACATTGCGAGGTAGTTCTCACTTCAATTTGTTGTGTGATTTGAATACTCTCTTTGTCACAAAATCTCTCAAAGTAGTTAATATGGTTGGCTTTATTAATTATATTTTTTTTTAATTTTTTCATGGTATTAATAAAATACTTGGTAAATAAATATATAACATTATTTTGTATTATAACTTTGATATTTAATTATAAAAATAGTGCACAAAACACATAATAGATAATGTAGTGAATATAATCAATTGATGAATTTGAATGTAACAATTTTTACATTTGAGAAAAATAAAGACAATTTAACTAATGAAAATATTTCTTTTAATTAATTTATTGATAATTAATAATTTTTTTTCACTGAATAAAGACATTGTAAGGACAATGTAGCGAATATAATCAATTAATAAATTTGAATATAAATAATTTTTATACTGAAGAAAATTAAAGACAATATAACTAATAAAATTATTCCTCTTATTTTTTTGAATGCAAATTATTCCTCTTATTTAATTTATTGATAATGAATAATTTTTTTTTTTTGAATAAAGGCATTGTGGACACATAATTCTAAATTAAAGAAATGTATATGTATTATTTTTTGTTGTAACTACTAAATTATTATTTATATAATTTAATAAGAGTAAAATAGAGTACTAATTATGCCAACTTTGATTGGGATGAGGACCTAAGACCTTTTTTTTTTATTGAAATCAATGAGTAAGTTAACGATAAACTAACGGCAATTCTTAAAATTTTAACGGAATTAGTAACGGTGTGTGGGTATTTTAAGAAATTTAGTGTAAAATTTAAATGTCATCAATCTTTTAATCAATCTGAGCCATTCATTTTATTAAAATCTGTGACCGCCATTTTTTCTACTAATTATAAGCCTAACTCTCTTGGGCTCTTATTAGTATAGTAGATGTGTGTTAATTTGCATCGTAAGATTTATAATATGTTATATGCGGTAAACAAATATTTAAATTTTTTATTTGAATAATATTTTAAAATAAAATATATTTTTGATGATTTATCTAGCCAAGATAGTCTTTATGCATCATTGTTTTTAGATTAATCTAAAATAATTTAAAATTGCTCCAAAAAAAAAAGTTAATGATAGAGATGATAAGTGATTTAAAATGCATTTTGTATTCTAACAATTTAATCCACTCAACCTGTCAACCACACCCCTCAAGTTATATAAATAAAAATCCTAATTAAATTAGAATCATGCTACACACTCTTATAAATTACTTTTACCATTCACAAACAACTACATCTAGCACATAAGACTAAAGATTAAACAAAATGAAAAAGAGAAATATTGTCTAACATTTTGTCACATCATAAAATTGTTATTTTGTGGCTAAAGATTAAACAAAATGAAAAAGAGAAATATTGTCTAACATTTTGTCACATCATAAAATTGTTATTTTGTGAGTGACAATTATATGGTGCTTGGCATTTTTTATTCAATTATTACACTGACCCCCCTATATGTTTTCAGGATTAATCTTGTACACAAATATTAATAACTGCTACCCCTTCCCAAAAAAATAAATAATAATAATAATAATAATAATAATAATAATAATAATAATAATAATAATAATAATAATAATAATAATAATAATAACAACAACAATAATAGCAACAACAACAACAATAATAATAATAATAATAATAATAATAACAACAACAATAATAATAACAACAACAATAATAATAATAATAATAATAATAATAATAATAATAATAATAATAATAATAATAATAATAATAATAATAATAATAATAATAATAACAACAACAATAATAGCAACAACAACAATAATAATAATAATAATAATAATAATAATAACAACAACAACAACAACAACAACAACAACAACAATAATAATAATAATAATAATAATAATAATAATAATAATAATAATAATAATAATAATAATAATAATAATAATAATAATAATAATAATAATAATAATAATAATAATAATAATAATAATAATAATAATAATAATAATAAAATAATAATAATAATAATAATAATAATAATAATAATAATAATAATAATAATAATAATAATAATAATAATAATAATAATAATAATAATAATAATAATAATAATAATAATAATAATAATAATAATAATAATAATAATAATAATAATAATAATAATAATAATAAATAATAATAATAATAATAATAATAATAATAATAATAATAATAATAATAATAATAATAATAATAATAATAATAATATAATAATAATAATAATAATAATAATAATAATAATAATAATAATAATAATAATAATAATAATAATAATAATAATAATAATAATAATAATAATAATAATAATAATAATAATAATAATAATAATAATATAATAATAATAATAATAATAATAATAATAATAATAATAATAATAATAATAATAATAATAATAATAATAATAATAATAATAAAAAAAAAAAAAAAAAAAAATAATAATAATAATAATAATAATAATAATAATAATAATAATAATAATAATAATAATAATAATAATAATAATAATAATAATAATAATAATAATAATAATAATAATAATATAATAATAATAATAATAATAATAATAATAATAATAATAATAATAATAATAATAATAATAATAATAATAATAATAAACTGCTATCAATTTGAACTTTCGAATAAAATATACTTAACTACTAAAATTTCAAATCCTTATGACTTGTCACCATATTTTGACCAAAACTTTTTTTCTGCAAATTTCAATCTGAATTTGAAAATTTTGATCTATCTTTTAAATATGAAAATTTCATGCCCCCAAATGCATTTTAAAACCTTCTGTTACTATAGTAAGAGAAGATGTGAAACTTTGATACAATTTTCAGCCCATTTTGTTATCCCATAGAAAATATAATTTATCTTGACCTTAATTACATGTCAATTTTAAAAGTTCAGACTAAACTTTTTTTATTATATGAAAAAAAAAACATTTACATTTCAATTCATTATTGTTATTTTTTTTTTTAAACTACTTCCATGAAATTTTGTCAATTTTTACTATTCTAATATACTACTCCATCTACCTCATTTTACATATTCTGTTTACTATTTATTTATTGGTCTACCCAACTCTTTCTTCTTTGTTTATTTTCTTCTCTTTTTTTTTTTTTAAATTTGAATTCTTATGTTTATTAGAACTTTTAATGTAATTTTTAGATATATTAATTTTGTATTTTAATACTAAACTTAATATTATGAAAAATAGAATAAAATAATAACTTCAGTCAAATCTACACATAAAATGGGACACAAAGGATATTTTATAATAACAAATAAGTGTAATAATTCTTTATATTTATTGACTAACCATAAATCAATTAACCGACCACATCACAAATTAATTAAATATGGTTATATCTTATTAAAAATTTTATGAGAGCTCAGTGATCTTCCATTTATCCATAGACAAGTTGAGTTACTCATGAGTATTACAATTTTTTCTTATAAATATTAGTAATTATTCAACAATTAAATATTACATTTTAATTTAAAATTATTATATTTTTTTTTAAAATATTACATTTTTTCTTCATAAATATTATACTTTCCCTTCCAGCATCTTCAATAGCATTGAATTTTTTGTGACTTTTGAGATGCCACTAGGAGAGAGATGAGGGAGAAAAAAAAGGAAGAAAAGAAAAAGAAAAAAAAGGGAAAATCTAACAAGAAATTAAAAAAAAAAAAAAAAAAACATATAGGCTCTGTTTGGCAAAGCTTATTTAGGAGCTTATAGCTTATTTTAAGCTACTAATAAGCTATAAGCTCTGTTTGGTAATGTTTCCAAAATAAACTTCTAGCTTAAAATAAGAACTTATTTTGAAACGCTACCTTAGGTAGCGTTTCAAAATAAGCTCCTAGCTTCCTAACTTTTTTTCCATCTTTATCCTTATTATTTTAAAGAAATGATATAACTTACCCTTCCCAATTAAAACCCTTTTCTCTTCTCCTTTATCCGCAAATTTCACCGCAAATATTATTATTATTATTATTATTATTATTATTGAAGAGATTATTATTATTATTATTATTATTATTATTATTATTATTATTATTATTATTATTATTATTATTATTATTATTATTATTATTATTATTATTATTATTATTATGAGATTTGCAACAATATTGCTACTTTATTATGAGATGCTAGATCATAATTGTTCTAATAGTTTTATGAGTAAATACCCAAAATGGTCCCTCGACTATAGCTAATTTCACAAATTGGTCATCGACTTTTAATTTCAACCAATTAAGTCCTTAACTTTGTAATTTTAACACAATTTGGTCCTTTGTCTATTTGACCGTCTGTTGACTGCACCTTTTTAGGATATATATGTAATTTCATGGTCCATCGTCGGTTTTTTAAGGTTTCGATTGCATTTCTAGACTGCACTGTTTCATTTGAATCCACTGTCGGCGCTGCACCCCATGTCCGAGAGATTATAGCTTTTGATAGATAGATCGCCGAAGTCCCTAGAGTGGCTCTTCGAGAAAGCTGTGACTCCAAGCGATGTAGGCAAGCTGAACCGGCTCGGGATCCCCAAACAACAAGCGGAGAAGCACTTCCCCCTCCGAAACGGCGCTGTCACCTCCAAGAGCATTCTCTAAGCTGAACCGGCTCGTGATCCCCAAGCAGCAAGCGGAGAAGCACTTCCCCATCCGAAACAACGATGTCACCTCCAAGAGCGTACTCTTGAGTTTTGCACGTGAAACTACATATATATCCTCA